AGGCTCCAACCTATTCGTGGGGAGCAGCATGTGCTGGGAACCGGGCCCAGCGTCCCATATGGAAATTTACATAAATTTTTGAAGATTGAGATACTGGGGCCATTACCCGGCTTTGGCTCAGAAAAAATTGAAGCTACGTAGAAAATGACATCGACAAACTTCAGAATATGAACAGAATTCAGGAAACTACTCAGAAAACCCCTCCATCCTTCCACTGTACCTCACTCCGGCAAGACTTACTGCAGCAGAGCCACCATCTCCGTTGCTGCTATGCCCTATTCTCATCCTACCAGCTAGCCCCCTCACTAGTAGGACGCGTGATATCCCACCATCTCCTTCCCCACTCCCCCTTTTTTGGCTCAAAAAGTTGGAGCTACTTAGGAAATGACTACAACAGGCTTCAAGAATAAGCAGGATTCAAATCCGACTCGGACCCCCCCTCCCCCATCAATCCTCTGTACCTCACTCCGGCAAGACTTACCGCAGCAGAGCCACCATCCCTACTGCTGCTATACCCTATTCCAATCCTACCAGCTAGCCCCCTCACTAGTAGGACGCTTGATATCCCACCGTCTCCTGCTCCCACTCACCTCGTTTCTTTTTCGATTAGACCGCCGGGGTCTAAATCTCGACCTCCCTAACAACCTTTCCAGAGTTCCTCAAAGTTGTCGTTACTCCCTGCCGAACTCTTCCAGGCCTTACACCCCCACTTCCTGCTGGGTTACAGGGCAACACAACTCGCCCCAGCTCCGACCAGCGTCATCCCAGCAGCAAACCTGGGTTGTCCCCGTGAGATGCCCACCCCAAAGCATCCCCAGATCTCTCTACGAGGCCTCACGCTCCTGCGTCAACAGGTTACAGGGCAACACCCTAGCACTGACCAGCGTCATTCTGGCATCGAACAGCCGCAGATCACTGAGTGTAACAACTTCAAAGCAGCCTAAGAAAAATTGATAGAAGCCCTACAATCCTAAACATTCTCAAGTTCCCCTTAACGGCCAAACAGGATAAAATTCAGAAAAAAGGGGGGTCAAAACTAGAAACTAATACCAACTATCCTAAAATTTTCTTCTCAACAAGCGAACCGTCGGTCCCGGCTTTCAGTCCTCGTACCAGAACTCACCTGGTCTCATACCCCCCTCTGCTAGGGTAACAGGACACCGCAACCCTCCCCAGTACCGACCAACCTAGTTCTGACGGACAGGAAGTGCCTTCCTCCCTCGACAATTCCTTTAGCGGCAAACCCCTAAACAGGTTACAGGGTCCACACCCCGGTGCCAACTACATTGGACGATCTGGTTATGCCTTCCACCCTCGGCATAACTCCATGGATCTCAAGATCCCCCTGGGTCACAGAGCACTGCTCCAACACCGGTCTATGTCGTCCCAGCATCGTCCTCTTGACCTACTCACCTTAACCGACATCTCCCGTCTGTTGAAAGTCCCCTTTCATTTTTTCCATCCTCCCATTCTAGTTTCCCCCTAGGCAGCCATCAACAGAAAAAACACCACGGTCATAGATCTTTTCATCGAAAATCAGGAACAAAGCTAAGAACCTATCTGTATCGTCTTTTTGAGAATTGAAATTTAAAGATGATATCAAATAGTAATCGAGGAAATTTAGGCCATGAATTTTTGGCATCCAATTCATAACGAAATTTCGAAAAGAAGAACTAAATAAAAAATTGATTCTGATGTCCTCACAAACTTTCGACTCTGATTTCCAGAACCGTAGTTCAAGAAATCGCTCAGACTATTAATCAAGAATTACTAAACAGAAAAAAACAATCGACAATCAATTAAGAGGGAAAGTCACTCAGACAGTAATCAGGAGATTCTAAGCTGAAAGTGAATCGACAATCAAGACCGTAAATGAGAAAGTAAAAATACAAACTACCGATCAAGATCTACTAAAAAATCTGCATAAAAAATACGACATATACAATCAGAGACTAAAATTTTCAGAAATCAGAACTAAAAACTTACAACACGATTCAAAGTAATCCAGTTTGGTGACTACAACAGAAACCGTTATACCTCATATGAACAACGAGAGGGTCTATCCAAAGAAAAGCAAGCTCATCCTGAAGATGCAATCAACAAGGCGTCCCTGAATACCTCTTTACAAATCTTTCCATTTGAAAAGGACACCACTGTGTTGGAGAACGGGTCCGGCGTCCCATATCAAAACTTTAACCCCCTTCCTTTCTTGTGACCTGGTCGGGTAAAGGGTGGAGGGTCACTGGGGGGCACCAGTGGAGTTTCCCTCCTTCACCCAGCCCCTGCCTACCCCATACTTCCCCCGTGGCGTCTATTGTATACCGAGAATCGTGTGCTAAGAGTTCAAATCAATGTCATAAAATGAAATATCTCTCTTCTGCTGGAAACCGGGTCCAGCGTCCCTTAAATAAACCTTTCAAGAATCCAATTATTAATGGAAGCGACGCCAAAGTGCTGGAAACCGGGTCCTGCGTCCCTGGCTCAATGAAAAATAGTAGGAAAAGCAGTCTCTGCTGGAGACCGGGTCTGGCGTCTCATACATCATCACAATGAAACGAGGAAAAGGGAATAAATAAAACGGCCTTCAGTGTGCTGCTCAGGCTCTTGGGAACGGTACCACCAAAGACAAAGGGTGAGGGGGGAAAGAGTCTGCGAAGTCCTGAGCAGACCGCAGTGGGTTGCTGGGATCAATCTTTGTCCATTCGTGAAAATGAAGCTGATAATCCCTTGCTATTCCTGCCTGTTGTCCCCTCTGCAGTCTTTTCTCCATCTGATGATGAGCCTGTCCATCCTCTGGCCAAGTTACCCTTGCAACCCATCCTTCCCTCCTCCCGCCCAACCAATCCTCGCAGAACTGCGAAATAACCTTGTCAATATCCCTTTTGGTGTGTAGCTAACTTAGTTTTTTCTTAACCACACCCCACTGGGCCGTAATCTCGTGTTGAACCAAAATTCTTACTTGCTCTGTGACTTCCCCCTCTTCTACCTGTGCCCCCTCTATTTCCAGGATGCATCTTCTCCACCATATAACCCATAGGACAGCCCGCCTTCCCAGACAAAACATATTCTCTTTAAATGTATTCCCTTGAATCTGGGGATAGTATCCCAAAAGTATGGCCCTCCATTCCCATGGCCAAGTCGAGCTCGGTATCATGTGTCGCCAAATCCTGTCCCACCACCTCCACAGTAGGACAGCCGCAGGACACTGAAGGAAGATGTGCTCTATCGTCTCGGAGCATTTTTTACTTGGGTAGCCCTGGAGACATCTGTGACACCAAGGCAGTGCCCGCCCCTGCTGTTCCAAATGGGAGTGATCTATTAGCCAATTGTTAGTTGGTAGGCACCGGTGTGCAATCTGCCATTGTAGGGCGAAGATCTTTGCCGGCCTCTTTCCATAATCCGCAAACCACCTTATGGGTTTTAGCAAGCCACGATCCACGTTGAGATGGCGATACCATCTATCTTCTAAAGTATCTCGCAACCTGCGTTTAGGTCTGAGCATTCGGTATACTGACTTAGGTTTTAAGCCAGCAAGTGTTAATGACCGTGCCCTTCCCCCCCTGCTTGAATTTCCAGAGCTTCTCGGATCATTCCAGGACCAATGCCACTCCTCAGGGTCGAAGGGGAGGTCCTCAATCGGGGTCATGGGTCGATAGGCTCTCCATCCTCTACATTCGTGAATAATTCTGACACGATATACTTCCTTTTTTTCCTTCCAGATAAAGGGTTGTTTGCTCCCTCGTAGTTGATCCTCCTTTT